TCCTGGTTCACCGACACGTAGGACCACAGCGATTTAGGTTCCAGGTCGCTGGCTATGATGGAATAAGAAACATGGCCATTGGGCCCCAAATCTGGGTCCGAGGCGCTGACTTGAGCAATGGAAGCACCAGGCGGGTTGTTTTCAGCCACTTGAATCAAATAGGAGGCCCGATGGAAAACTGGAGCATTGTCGTTGATGTCCCCAACATGCAGGGTGACGCTTGTGCTGGAGGAGAGGGGTGGCTTGCCTTCATCAGTGGAGATGATGGTGACGTTGTACTCTGGAGTCTGCTCCCGGTCCAGGACTCCATCTGTTACAAGCTTATAATAATTACTGGCGGAAGATTCAATTCTAAAAGGAACCGTTTCTTTTATGAAGCACGTCACTCTTCCATTTTCTTCAGAATCTTTATCGTATGTTTTGAACAGAGCCACTACTGTCCCAGGTTCTGCATCCTCGGCTATAGAATTGGACACCGAAGTAAAAACCGCTTCTGGGGCATTGTCGTTTTCATCGAGAATTTCTATTACAACTTTACATTCTGTGGCCATGCCTCCACCATCCTTGGCCTCTACGCTCATGGTATAAGTCTTCTTGGTTTCAAAGTCTATAGGGCCTTCAGATTTAATTTCTCCACTTTGATGATCTAGGATGAAGTTATTTCTAATATCGTCTCCTAGTGATTTGAAGGAGTAGGTGACCTCTGCATTGACACCCTCATCCTGGTCAGTGGCCATCACCTTTAGCACAAAGGTGCCTGAGGGCATGTTCTCTCTAAGACTGACTTTGTACATATTTTGGCTGAACACTGGGGCGTTATCATTGGCATCAGTGACCTCGATTTTAATCTGAGTAGTGCCGGTTAGTACTGGTTCTCCCCCATCCACTGCTGTCAGGATCAAGAGCTGGGAGCTCTGCCTTTCCCTGTCTAGAGGCCTCTCTAACACTAATTCTGGGGCATCCTTGCCGTCAGCCTTGTCCTTCACCGCCAGAGAGAAATGCTCGTTCAAACTGAGCTGGTAACTCTGGAGAGAGTGTGGTCCTACATCTTCATCTATGGCAGATTCCAGGCCAAACCTAGTGCCTGGAATCGCAAGTTCATTGATTTGTAAAACAATACTGTTTTGGAGGAAATGGGGCGGATTATCATTTATATCTTCTATCACCACGCTGACGTGAAAGACGTTTAGGGGATTTTCTGCCACAATCTCTAAGGGCAGGACACACAGAGGGCTTTGGAAGCACAGTAACTCGCGATCTATCCTGTCGCTCACAACTATGTTCCCGTTCTCAGGGTTCACAGTGAGATACGGTTTCTCTGAGATAACTCTGAGATTCCGAGTCAGTAAATCCCGAACAGGCAGTCCCAGGTCCTCAGCAAGGTTTCCCACAACCGAGCCCATGGCCATTTCTTCCGGAATAGAATACCGGACTTGCTCCGAAAGCCCCGTGCAGAACAAAGGCAGCAAGAACGGAAAGAGTACTTGCCTCCACGGGGTCCTGTTCCCCAGGTTCACGCTGCGCTGCATCCTTCTCATAGCCTTCCGGGTGAAGGGAAGAGGCTTCACGAACTACTTCCACCACGAAGAAAACCCAAACGCTCACTCCAAGTTTGAGGATACCACAGTCTCTAATATGATTTGCTAAGCAGAAAATTCAAGTCCCCCCACTCTTTAAGCCTTCAGTGATCGTTCACAATTTCTACTGGTAGAGCCTGGAAGTCAGCGCTTACAGCTATTGGACAACAGCGGCGCCCAGAGTCCACTTATAGAATTGCAACCAGAAGCCTTTGCAGACTCAATGGGATTAGAAAGACAGATCTATGTTGGGATACAACCAACAAAGGAGTTTACGAGTTTAGAATTTGTCTGTTTTCCAGTGTTGCTATTGAACAAAGCCCCCCCAGATATGAGATCTGTAGCATAGCTATTAACCCAGTAATGTCAAATTAAAAGGCTTGTCTTTTCCTATCAGAGAAACACTAAGTAGAAGAACCAGGCAAGTATTTCCTCAAAACCACGTAGAAAAATAGCCCCACCAAGTGGTATGGGAAAACTTGAAAGTGGAGAAATGACGCCACATACCATCTTCAATCAGACACATGCATAATTGCCAGAGAAGGGGCATTCAAAACCATTTAGGGCACATTTGAAATAAAAATGGCCAATGCCCTAAATTATTTCTAGTTATAATATAGATGCATCACAAGGATTGTTAAATGCGCATTTACCCTTAAGAATTTGATGGCATGAGATGTGAGCGCATTTTCTCTTTATCTTATTTAAATTAACTATATGTTGCATCCTAACTGAACTTCCAGTGACATGCAACTTTCAGAGCCAACCTTTTCTTTTTCTTCTTCAAGAGCTCAGTTCACAGCTCCCAACTAGTTTAGACTGTGCTTAAAAACTCAAAACAAACTCTCCTTGCCAATCAAATGCCTTGCAGCATTTTGAATAATCTAATTCTAGTTCAAGTGTAGTGCCTTAGATTTTTTTCTCTTTTGAGTTTGGAATTCCATAAGCATAAATACTACTCAAAACACTCAAATATTTTTCTTGCCTTCAAGACAAATTTAGGCACCTGTTAAGAAGAACTCCTTTCCCAACAGTTGAAGAATTGTGTCCAATCCCCAAATTTACAATGAATTACATTAAGATCAAATTCCTAAGTGAAAAACACAAACTTGAAAGGAAATACTAATGTGCAAGTAACTGAATCAAATCTCCAGACATGACATAGGAATGTGGAGTTTGATTTTGGAAGTGATTCTTGTGATCAAATCTCGATAAGTCTCTTTTCCTCGTTTGCCGTTGCTTCAGAGAACATGCATATTATTGGATAAATATTGAGGCTTCAATAGCGAGGTTCTTTTCTTTCTGATTACAGCAATTGAATATGCTTAGATGTAGTGCAAAATGAATTTAAGGAAAGAAAAAAGGAACTCAAGCTCCTAGATGGAAGAAGACAAAGAAAAAGAAGAAAGGAGAAGGAGGAGGAGGAGAAAAGAAGAAATGAATATGAGCAAAGTCAGCTCCCCCACCATCCTAGGGCTTTGGCCAAGGATCTTGCACATGCTAAGCACATTATTGACCACTGAACTATATCACAGCCCCTAAATCAATCACTTATACACCCCAAATACCCACTCTTATCTCTAATCATCACAAATCATATAAACAAATCTGAATTTGAAAGTTTGAGGGATAAAAATAATTTCTAGCTGGGCGGTGGTGGCGCACGCCTTTAATCCCAGTACTCGGGAGGTAGAGGCAGGCGGATCTCTGTGAGTTCGAGGCCAGCCTGGGCTACCAAGTGAGTTCCAGGAAAGGCGCAAAGCTACACAGAGAAACCCTGTCTTGAAAAATAAATAAATAAATAAAAATAAATAAATAAATAAATAATTTCTATATGTGGATTTGTTACCTCACAAACGTTCAAAAAGGAAAGGAAAAATAAAAATGAACAAGAAAAAAGAAAAAAAACAGGAAAAAAGAAAAAGCACTGCATCTAATACTACAGTAAAAGAATAAAAGAAAACAACATTGGCTCAACAGTCCGGTTTTTCTCATACAATCTAGTGAATTCACAGTAGCGATAGACAGGGAGCCTAAGAAAATGGTCCTGCATTCCCTCACCCAGCAAAGTCTTGTAACAAAGTCTGTTTTGATAGAATGAAGCAAAGATACAAAACTGAAATAGTCAACAGGATCCAAATACACCATCGACCACCAAAAAGCAAAACAGAACTATGCATCCTCAGAAGAAAACCTCATTACGAATAGTGTGTAGATAGATAGACGAGGAAACGCTGCAGAGAGCATGTTCCAGAGTTGAGTTAAATTTAAACATTAGAAGCAAATCATGGTAGACTATAGAGACACTGTGAAATTAAAATAAAATCTGTTTGTGAATCATCGAATTGAATCACAATTCCTTTACATCGATAGCCACCAATCATGATGATAGATAACAATACTGAAGTTAACGCACTACAAAGCAAGTCAAGATAATCGACCTAGCCTTTCAAAATCAAAAGAAAATATGCAAGCACCAAAAATGGACTTTGATAAAGCCCTTCTGAAAAAAATGTTAACCTGATGACGGTAAGGTACACACAACACAAACCAACGAATACGTTTTCTAAATATGTATGACTAGTTATTTCTACCCAAGCCTAATTTTCAAAACCAGCTCAGCAAAAGACCCTTCAAGACCTGTGCCAAAACAACAACAATTGGGAGGCAAAGAACTATATCTCACCTGACTATCTGTTGGGTCACATTTGCCTAAAACGGTAGCTGGGTCTTCAGCTATCAGGAGAGGCTCGCTTTTCCCACAGCTCTCCTGGCTGATGAGCGTGTCTGCGTAGTTGGGCTGCGGGAAGATCAGGTGACTCTTCCTCGAGTCCGCTGTGAGCGAAACCTCGTGGGAATAGGTCTGGAGAAAAGCTCGCACCCCGTCCACGCCCACAAAATGCGACGGAGGCATGCCAGCCAATCCGCTGGCAGCCTGGAGCAGACGCGAGGAGTGCCAGCGCCGAAGCCTGAGAGCCAGCAAAACCATGACGAAGATGAGGAAGACGCAAGAGACTGCAGTGACGGCTACCACTAGGTACAGGGTGAGGCCTGACTCATCCGGGTTGGTGGGAGTCTCCAGACTAACCAAGTCCTCCAGAACGTCCGGGATGCTGTCAGCCACCGCCACGGTGAGCCTGACTGTGGCGGAGAGGGGAGGCTGGCCGTGATCCTGTACAGATACGACGAGGCTCTGCTTGAGAGCATCTTTGTCCATCATGGCGCGGGCAGTGCGAACCTCCCCTGTGTGCAGCCCCACCGAGAAGAGCCCTGGCTCGCTGGCCTTGAGCAGGCGGTAGGAGAGCCAGGCGTTCTGCCCCGAGTCTCTGTCCACCGCCACTACCTTGGTCACTAAATAACCGGGCTCTGCAGAGCGGGGCGCCAATTCCACACCAGTGGAGCCATCAGTGGGGAGAGAGGGGTACAGGATCTCTGGAGTGTTGTCGTTCTGGTCCAGCACGTACAAGGTCAGCGAAATATTGCTGCTTAGTGGTGGGTCGCCATTGTCACTAGCAGTCACTCCCAGTTGTAGGGTTTGGAACTGCTCATAGTCGAAGGACTGCAGGGCATACAGCACACCGGTGTCTGAGTTGATGGAAACGTAAGAGGATAGAGGTGTCCCCTGGATGGTGTCCTCAGCCAGAGAGTAAGTGACCTGGGCATTTTCTCTGCTATCTCTATCAACCGCGGTCACCGAGAAGATGGAAGAGCCCCTGGGGTTGTTTTCAGGAATGTAGGCAGAGTAAGAGGGGTGAGTGAAAACTGGAGGGTTGTCGTTGGCATCTGCCACTTTGAGCAGGAGGTGAGTTTCTGTAGACAAGGGTGGACTTCCCTGATCTTTGGCGGTTAATGTAATATTGTAGCTCTCCACTTGCTCCCGATCCAGCTCACTATTTGTTATCAATTTATAATAATTTCCATACGTCTTTTCTAACTTAAAAGGAAGACCATTAGGAATGAAGCAAGTGACTTGACCGTTTTCTCCAGAATCTTGATCCTGAACGTTTAAAAGGGCAATTACTGTACCTGAAGGAGAGTTTTCCGGCACTGAGTTAATGGAAGAGGTGACAGTTATCTCTGGAGTGTTATCGTTCACATCCGTAACTGTGATCTGCAGCGTGGTGGTGCTCAACAGTCCTCCACCATCTTGGCCTTGAATTTCCATCTCATAGAATCTGTATTTTTCAAAATCCAGAGGCTTTCCGACTAGAACTTCTCCAGTTTGAGAATTCAACTGAAATATTTCAGAAGCTTTGCTTTTCTTTTTCCGGAATGAGTACGCCACTTCTCCGTTTATACCCTCGTCTGGGTCTGTGGCGTTCACCACGAGCACCCGAGTTCCAGAGCTGAGGTTTTCGGGAATACTCACTCTATACACAGACTGTGTAAACTTTGGGATGTGGTCATTTACATCCAGGACCACCACGCGAATGGGAACCGTGCCCTTGCGGATGGGATCTCCCCCATCTAAGGCTGTGAGGAGGAGGTGGTGAGAAGCCTCTTTCTCCCGATCCAGGCCTTCCTCCAGCACTAGCTCTGGATTCTTGTCCCCATCAGTTCCGCCTCTCACCTGCAAGGAAAAGTAACTACTGGGACTGAGCTGGTAGCTCTGGAGGGAGTTCATCCCGGCATCTGGATCCCTAGCGCTAGGAAGAGGAAATCGCGATCCAGGACTAGCATGCTCACTGACTTTGATCTCCACCTCCTCTTCCTGGAAGCTGGGGGCGTTATCATTAATGTCCATTATTTCCACCTCCACTCCGTAGATCTTCAGGGTGTCCTCTACGAGAATCTCCAAATTTAGTAAGCAGGAGGGCAAGGTATCACACAACTCCTCGCGGTCGATCCTGCCCGCGGTGACCAAGCTGCCACCTCGCGGATTCAGAGCGAAAAGCTGCATTTCGCCTCTGGAGACGATACGGACTCCGCGTTCCGCGATCTCCCCGGGCTCCAGCCCCAGGTCTTTGGAGATGTTGCCCACGAAGAAGCCTTTATCTGTCTCTTCTGGCACCGAGTATCGGATCTGCCCGGTCCCAAACGTCAGCAAGGTCCCTAGGAAAATGCACAGCGGGACCAGCGCTCGGCGGTCCAGGCTGTGAGGCTGATTCGCCATGGCTCCGAGTGAGTGCAGTTCGTGGGTTCTTGCGCCAGTTTATTTTTTTCTGAATTAGCTTTTGTGTCTACGAGGTTCCAGGTCGTCCGCATCCAAAATATATTCCAAAGCGAGCGGAGGTGTTTTTATTTCCAGAATTAGGATGCGTGAGTATCCATCCCTTTCGGCTTTGTGTGGTAGAGGTTCAGGAGAAGGACTCAATAGCTTTGCCCTCCCATTCCCTGATTGGTCAACAGCGGCGCCTAGAGCCCAATCTTATTATTACAACACTAAGAAAAATCGGAAGTCCGTTGCAGAGGAAATTGTCACACTCACCTTTTCCGTGAATCATACACAATTGTAAAGCTGAAAACCGCAAAAATAGTTATGTGATGTGATGTAAAATTCACCAGGCGCACTTATGAAAAGGGTAGATATTAAATGGACATGTTTAATTTAAAGTTTTGAAATACTACTGGAACTGAAAACGCACAGATTAGTTGTGATTCCAACTGGTTTTACTGACGGAAGAGACACGACATTTGTGGATGTGAAAACAGCGTGTTCCATAAAATCCTGAGGTAGGATGCATGGCTATTATTCTTACTACTTTTTCCCCCAAGGGTGTTATTTTTATTGTTTTAATTATGTGTATGTGTCTTTGTGAGTATGTGCACGTGTGAGTGTGGGTTCATGTGAAGTCCAGAAAAAGGTGGAACTGGAGGTACAGGCAGTAGTGATCCTTCAGTTGTGGATGCTGGGAACTGAACTTGGGTCCTCCCAAAGAGCAGCGATGCTCTTAACCACTAAGCCATCTCTTCAGTCCCCACCAAAGATTTTTTAATGAATCATTTTGTTTTTTAACGAGCAAAATAAAGACGGAATATTTCACTCAAACTTTGAATAGCATTATGGTTATCATTTAAAAGATAATAAAATGTAACTGTATTTCATGCTTTTTTTTTTTTTTTTGGTTTTTTTTTGAGACAGGGTTTCTCTGTGTAACTTTGCGCCTTTTCCTGGAACTCACCTGGTAGCCCAGGCTGGCCTCGAACTCACAGAGATCCGCCTGCCTCTGCCTCCCGTGTGCTGGGATTAAAGGCGTGCGCCACCACCGCCCGGCTGTATTTCATACTTATAAATGCAAGCCATTTTTAATGAAACACTCGCGTGAGCGTTTCATATACTTGTATATGTTAGAGGCCAGAGGACAGGGAGGAGAGAATCAGTAATCAAAGCCAGGACCTAGAGCATACTATACCCTCAACCCTCAAAAAAAGAAAGAATTAAAGATGTTTGGATAGTAGTGTATTTAACCACTGCGAACCTTTTGTTGTATGTGCTGGATAGAACTGGGAATGTTTCACACGAGGCACATGGATTTTGTCACTGAACCTCATTCCCACATCCCTTCCAAACACAGGGATAGCATGAGTTTGGCCTGGATTTCTCTTAGGAACTTTAAGTTCCAAAAATAGAGCCGGCCAGGTGGCTTGCCCCTTTATTCTCAGCACTCGGGAAGCAGAGGCAGGCAAATCTCTGTGAATTCTAGGTCAGCCAGGTCTACACAGCAAATTCCAGGACTACAGAGAGAAACTTCTGTCTCAAAACAAAACAAAACAAAACAAAACAAAACAAAACAAAACAAAACAAAAACAAAATCCTTAAAATAGCACAACTATATTGGAGCACATTGGTTTACCGGCATTTAAAAAGCATAATATTAAATACCTGGTTAAAGGTCTTCTCGTCTGCTTCAACACTAGGAGTTAAAATGCTAGTCAACAGTGCTGAGGAACTATCTTTGTTGAGAATATCTTGTGTGGCTGGATAATCACCAACAGAAGTGAGAAAATTAAAATCTGGTTTAGCTTGATCTCCCGGCACGCACAAATTATAGGCATAGGGCAATGTCCCTTCGCTGTAGTTCGGTGGAAGTACAGGTCGAGACTTGGAGCCCAGAACTGGCCCCAAGCATCCAGTGGTTGAAGAGCTGGAAGACTGTCGCAAGCGCAAAGCAATGGCCAAAATTACCGCGAAGAGGAAAAGCACTGAGATCAAGGCCAAGGCTACCACCAGGTAAAACTGAAGCTCACTCTGGGAGTCGGAAGGAGTGGGGTGATCGACAAGGTCCGGCAATGCTTCTTGTAGGCTGTCTGCGAAAACTAGGAGCAATGTGGCAGTGGCAGAGAGCGGTGGCTGTCCACCATCGCGCACAGCGACCAGAAGGCGCTGCCGCGCTGCGTCCCTGTCGCCCAAGGCACGCGCTGTGCGCACCTCGCCAGTGCGCAGCCCCAGGCTGAAGAGCCCGGGATCGCTGGCCTGCAGCACGTGGTA